CAAGCAGTCCTTCTAGATAAAGGCACAGACTTCTTGTCTCAAGGAATCTTCTCCACCATCCTTCAAATAGTCTCTACTCTTGACAGATTCTACTCACCACACCTGGTTACTTTTCAACTTTAATGTTCATTTAAAAAGCTTTGATATTGTTGTGCATCAACTACACCAAGATGGTCATCTACTTTCACTGTCCTGGTCATTCTGCCTCACAGGTAAGTAGTACCCTTTTCAAACTGTCCCCAATCTCTAGCAATAAAAGAGTGACATTCATTAAGGCTTAAGCTGTCTTCTCTTACTATGCTAAAACATGTTAGTAAACTTTTTCTTTAAGAGTTAGATGGTAAACACTTTAGGATTTATAATCTACACAAATACTCAGTACTGTTGACGTAATGGGAAAGCAGTGATGAATGTTATGCATATAAATGAGCAGGGCTGTCTAATAGAAACTAATAGACATCTAATCTCAATATCATACATTTTCACCTATGATGAAAAACATTCTCACATTTCCCAAATATCGTAAAATATAAAGACCCACTTAGTTCCAAGCATCAACAAAAACAAGACAGGCCATAATCTTTTCATTATTGTACTATCCCACGACTCCTTTTAAATGGCACTTATTATCATATGTGATAACCATTTACTTACTATCTAAACTTCAAACTAAAACAATTAAAGCTTATTTATCTATCACTTAATCCTAGTGCCTACCATGCCTGTACCAATGGAAGACAAGACAGGCAGGCAGGCAGTAGATCATCCACTGTGGTCTTGCTCTATGAGTACACTGGCTTTTCTCAGCTATTCTAGCACAGGCAAATTACAGCAATGTTCAGGTTAACTGTATCTGTTCTCTACTCCATGTCATCTGGCTGTGGTAGTACACAAATATATATTAAAATTACAGGATAATGAAAGGGTCTTGAATGATATGTGATTCAAATGCTTTATAATCTATATTGAGCAAATGAAATTAATGAGGCCCTAACGGTGTCATGGGCCTGGCCCATGATCAGACCACTTAGGGCAGGACAGGCCCAAAAACTAGGTTTTTCTTTTGTCTCCCATGATACAATTCAACTGAAGAACTGAGTTGTCAGTCCAACTTCTAGTACACAGGTTTTCCTTCTAAAATGGCCAACATTTAAGCATTTACAAAGGATAAAGGGAATCATGAACACTGCCTGTCAACAGCAAAAGCTGCCTTATCCTGCTGTGCCCACCAAGCTGTCCTGTAGGGCTCTCCTGGTTACCTGTAAGAGTTCCCTGGTGGGCTGCTGCTGCTTCTCTTCCAGCTGAGCAATCAGGCCACTGAGGTGAGAGATGTTGCAGGAGAACTGAGTGATGGCACCGTTGATACTGTTGTAGATGGCCAAGTCTAGCTCCTCAAGGCGAGCTAACAGGCGATACTCATGTTCCTTCAAGGAGTGATACAGCTGCTCAAACTCCCAAACAATTTTTTCCCTCTCCATCTGGGTCAGACTCTGTACATGACAAGCAGAGGCACTGAACAGGAAAGGCTCACTTCTAGAACTCTTCAAAGTATTCCCAATGACTGAACCCTAAGACATCATCATTTCATCTCATACTAAAACAGATACTTACAGTCTCTTTCTCCAGTCTTTATTCACCAGATGCACAATGACCATGAACTGAACTACTCCAATGGTAATTAAGAAGTAGTCTCTGAACTTAAGGAACTTGATCACGTGAATCAGATTAGACACTGTCATGACGGGTAAAGACAGTGGGAGAAGCTCAATAGTCTTCCCAAAATCCATGTTCACACAGAATCTTGTAGAATGCCATATAAGCATGAACTACACAGGCTTTCTAAGCTGAGCGAATGGCACAGGCAAAAATACAGGGAAAGAAGACACATGGTTCTACGTGCTTGGAGCCTATGAGCACTGAGGGACAAGATCAAATTAAACCTTGCCTGGCAGACTAAGAGTCACAAAATAGTCATACAGAAGTGGCAAGGTTAGGTGTGTGCCCTATGGAGATGGATGATCTGGAATAATCAAGCACACTTTCCTAGACTTGTTTACTCGGTCCCTTTATGTTCTACATGCACTATGATTCTTGGGGATGCTTATGGGTTTGGCATTGAGGAAGGTATCCTCCTCTTGGTTCTCCACCCAACATGTCTATTGCAGTTTGTCTGCCTTTCCTTCTCCACCTAACCCCTCCATTGCCAACAAGTTGTAGAGGAAAGTATATTATTCCTAGTACGTGGAAGGCAGAGACAGGAAGACTGGGACTTCAAAACATCTGTGGGCTACATAGTATTCTAAATAAATAAAAATGGCCAGCAAATAGTTCTAGAACAGTCAAGAAACATTGTTCTGGAATCCAGCCACACCTATTCACTTATGTATTAGACATGGCTGCTTTTGAGATGTAGTAAACGAGCTGTTTAGTTGTGATTCAGCTTGTGTAAACCCACAAAGTTTTAAAATACTACTGGCCCTTTTTAGAAAGTTTGCCAAACCTGATCTGCATTCAGCTGTTCCAGGAGCCCTCCATCATGCCTCTAACCAACCGTCTTAGGCACTCACTAGTCATCTTTGTTGCCATTGCTTTATGCGTACCTCCCCACCCCAGTTTATAGACCCTTTCTATAAGCTCATATGTCTTCTCAGTTGGATAAGTCTTTCAAAGGCATAAAGCATACAATATAATCTTAGGTGTACACAATTAAAAGTAAAGGAAACCTTAACGATCAGTGTTTCCAAAAGGGTGTGACTAACACCCCAGCAGGAACAATTTGCCTGGCATAGGTGTGTTTCTTGCTATGAAACACCTATCAACCTTGTCTCACCTTCCCACTCAGTCTTAAACTCAGCCCAAAACAAACCATTTACCATTTCAAGGGCAGCAACGGCCTGCTGGAGTACCACAGATTTCATCTGGCCCCTGTTTCACAAAATTAACGCCCAGAAAGGCTGTAACCCCTCTCCATCTAAACTTTCTAGTGTCAGAGCCAAGAAGCAAATTCAATGTTCTGGATTCCTAGAGGCTGTCTCTCTCTGGACAAAATCTCCCAGAGACCTGACACTGCTCTATGTATAAGTTCAGTCTACTCAGGATCACTGAGAAGTTTCTACATTCTATTTTCAAGCAAGGGGTGCCAAGGTCTCCTCCAGCCCTATGTGGCAGAGCTAAGTGGTCGGACTGACAGAAACAAGAGGATATGCCGCTTTAAAGTTTTTCAGTGCACTCTGACGAAGACTATGATTTCTCAAGGATTATCAGAGACTTCTAGCAGTTGAGAAATTTACTATACAGATGCAATGCCTCTGCAGGGTGGAGATCTGGACCCTTACCAAGAGCTCAGCTCTTGCTTGCTCCCCCTGTGCCCGACGTCTCTTCTTCAAGTCTTTTACTCTTCTCAGATGGTCCAGCCGATTCTGGATTTGCTCCTGAAGAAAGCAAACAGTTGGGCAGTTCAAGATTATACAAATCTCAGAATCAGAATAGTTACTCTGCTTATTACACAGGAACCCAAACTACAGGTGCCAAGGCCCGGTTGCACTGTCCTCAGACCACAATACCACTCCAGGGAAGAGCCTAAAGACCAGGGGTCAGCACAGCTCTGCTTTAGTGATTTGTTTGAAACTTTGAGCTACCTACAAATTCCTAGATGGTTCTGCAGAAGTTACGAGGCATCTGGGTAAGGAGACTCAAACAAGTTAAGGTGTACCTCTTTCTCGGAGGAGTACAGAGAAAATGATTTATTTTCCATGCACACAGAATCGGTAAACATCACTTTTTCCAAACTACAACTCATCACAGGTAAACAGAGGCATTTGGATGAACGCACATTTACACAAATATAACTCTGTGTATGTGTGTATATCTCTGCAGTCCTCAAAATAGATTCATTGTCACTTTACATGTAACATTTTTGCTTTACTGTGTACCCGTGCCAGTGTTTATTCAACAGTTCACAAAGGCCTCTTCAGGTCTTGTGAGTTCACTTACTCTTCACAATAACTCTTCTCTCCCGAGTCTCAAGAGTGGCTAAATGATTTACTCAAGCAGTAAAGAACTGTGTTCATTTCCATTAGCTTCTAAACAGGTTACAGGGAAGTGTTGGGGACACAGATTAAGTGACAGGCATTGCTTGATGTGAATTCAGCCAGCAAAGAGCAACTGTTTTTAGTCTGATATCCCGGGTCAGATGAGTTCGAGGTCTCCAAGGCCTACCGAAGTGGGCATCTCCTTTGTCAAAGGGAGGGTCTCCTCGCGCCGTCCCTGCCCCGCACGCGTTGAGGCGGTTAACAGGGGGCGCTGGGGGAAGGGATGGGGGTGGGGACGCATCTGGCCTCACCAGCTACAGGTTCTCCTTCCGAGTCTGAGTGCGGAGGCCCCGCAGCCGACAGGGAGGAAATGACGGCGCTGGGCCCCACGTCCGGCTCGCCATTTTCTCGGCGGCAGGCCGGGAAGCCCCCGGCTCGCCCCTTTGTCCTCCGCCGGCCCGGCCCCTACCTTAAAGCCCTCCACCGCCTCCTCCAGCGGCAGCACGCTGTGGCCACGATGCTCCCGCGAGCGGTCGCACACCACGCAGATGGGCATCTGGTCCTGCTCGCAGTACAGCTTCAGAGGCTCGCGGTGCTTCTCGCACACGCCCATCTCGCCGCCGGGCCCCGACGGCCGCTCCGTACGCAGCTGCTTCACCAGCTGGGTCACGTTGGCCAGGTGCCGGTTGGGCCGCATGTGGCGCTGCGGGAAGGTCTCCCGGCACTGCGGGCACGACACGTTCGTCTCCGCGGCACCCCAGCAGCGGGCCAGGCAAGCGCAACAGATGTTGTGGCCACAGTCGAGCATCATGGGCTCCACGAAGTACTGGAGACACACGGGGCAGGTGGTCTCCTGCTGCAGGCTCTCGGCCACGCTCCCGGAGGCCATGGCGCGGGCCCACTGGGCCGCAGGGCATGAGCACGGAGCCGAGCTCTGGCGGAGCCCGGCGCGCTTGCCCGCTCGGCTTCTCAGCTCCGGAGCGGGGCGGGGCCTCCGAGGCCGGGATCCCAGACGCGTGCGGAGCTCTCGGGCGGGCGGCCGCACCAATCCCCGCACAGCCGCGCCCCGCCGACAGCGAGGGAAGGCCTGGGCCCCACAGCCCGACAGGGAGCCGAGCGGAGTGGTGTCGGGACCCGGGCGCCGCGGGGTGGCTCACAGGGAAACGTGGCCGCGTCGGGACGAATCCCCCGGCCGCGCAGACTCCTCAGCGCCGAGCGGAAGAGGTGGACCGGGGGCGGGGCCTGGCTTCGCGCGCCGCGCCGCTGCCTCCGGGCGAGAAGGCGGGTTTCCTCCGCGCTGTCCTGGAGACCCGGGTGACCCAGCCTGGGGGTAGTGGCGGCCCGGTTCAGTGTGAGCAGGGTGCCCTGGCCGTGGGGGCCGTGGGGGCCGGCATTCCGGCGCCTGTGGGCCCGCGGTCTTACTGCCTAGGCCTCAGTTCCTTTAGAAGTATATCGGCTTTGTAGAAGTCCCGCGAAGCCGGGCGGAGAGACCACATAAGCCCCTCCCGGAGTGTGGAGCACTCTGAAACACACCCAACTCCAGGCGATTACCAACTGCTAGAAAAAAAAAGACTGAATAATCATCTGAGAAGCCCAGTTCTACTTCCACCTGGAAGTTGGTTTACGGTCCCGAGCCGCCTTCTCGTGTGAAATGAGGGTTGTTAGAATCCATACCAGAGCGCTGGTGATCACACCCTGAAACCTACTTAAGTTTCCCCCCCCCCGCTCCCCTAGCGTTACAGCTACTGGGGGGCCATCCCACGGAGAGCCCGCCTTTGAGCCCCTGTCTTCTTAACAGGCTCCCTAGGTGACCAAATTTCGCACTTCACCAAGCGAGGTTGCCAGTCCAGACGTGTCAAAGGGCCAGATAGATGGCGACACGCCTCCCTGCCCTCTTCCCTGCCACCTGCTGAGGAATCAGCCTAGCTGCCCGTTCCTAAGAGACCCTCTAAGACCCGGATTCTGCCACGTGAGCCTCGTTCTCCGAATTCCCCCCCCTCCCCGCCCCCCACCTCCGGGCCTGCTCCCTATGGCGCTGGATCCTGAAATTCTGAGTGTACATGGGTGCTGTGTTCCGTCCGTACTTGGCGTTAATGTTTCTAGTAACTTCTTACTCCCAACAACCTGCTTCAGTGTCCCACTTGACCCGCATACTCTGTCTTTCAGGGATATACTCCAGCAAGGAGTTATACTTTATTATTATTAAATTTTTCACATTCCATTGTTTTGTTTTTTAGGTTTGAGCCATGAAGATGTTTACCCATTAGTTTAAATAAAATAACCAGTGCATTGGATAGCATTTAGTAGAATCTAAAAGTTCCCTGTTTCTGCTGGAGAATCCTGTGATGAGCCGAGTTCTGGTAGCCCCATAAGTCTCCAATCTCAGAACAGAATAAATTTTCAGTTCTGCCCACTGTCACCGCTGATGGAGCATTTCCTGCTTTCCTTGGAGACTGTCTCAGTGTTGTCCTTGTATCTGAGCAACAGGGGCTTCTGCATCTAGAGCATCACTTTAGAGGATTTTGCTCAGACTTTCAGTATGGGACAAGCAATTCGACTAATTTGTCTTGCCAAACCAAACCTCCATTCTCCAACTCGCCCTTTGAAAGTCCAGGTCCAAATACTAAGCACACTACTATTAAAAGGTAGAATACTTGGCCTAGGGCACACCATAGTCTAGTCTGGTTCAGAATTGGAGTCAAAGGGATGGAAAATTCCACTCTTTTTACTCCAGAAGGAAGAAACAAGTTTTGCAAGCCAGTGTGTAAATATGAGATGCAGATGGCAAATGTGTGTCCTTAGGTCATCAGTGCAGGCCTGGAGGAGCATAGTTTTGTCGTGGGTCTGGTCACTGCTTTCGTAACCTCTGGAGGCAGATGGCCTGGAGGAAAAGCAGACAAACAGGTAAGTTTGGTAAGGTGGGGGTGGGGAAAGGAAAGCTTTCCCTTCCGTGATTTCTCTTTAGCCACAAAATTTAGTAGACTTGCCATTTGCTTCATTGCTTAATTTGCCTACTCATTTACACTTTTTCAGTGCTGGAGATCAAGCTCAGGGCCTTAAGCTTGGCAAGTGCTCTTTTACAACTCCATCCACTTAATTTGAATTGTTGTTAATCCCCCTTGACCTAAATTGTTGCAAATAGTTTGGAAATAAATTAGTAGTCGGCTGAATGAAGCTGCTGCCATTCATTTTTTTCCCCCAGTGCTTTTTTAAAAAAACATTTTCATACCTCTTCCAGGAAGAGTCATCCTTAAAATTTTTCCATTTTTCTTTCATTTTGTCAAGTTTTAAAGTACTTTTTTGAGTTAATTTTTTGACCTCCCTTGGTCATTATGGCCTTTTTATAATATATGTCATTTTACTTTCCTCATGTTAGGTACCCATTACGATCTCCGTATGTTGCTAAATCTAGATTCTGCATATGAGAGAAAATGTGATATAACTTTAAATTTTTTTTTTTTTTTTTTTTTTTTTTTTTTTGTTCATTGCTTGCATCTGAAGTACTCTTTGCTGGCATCCTTAGCCAGAGATTCTTCTCCATAGTCTTTAACTACTACACAATCACAATCAACCACTTTACTGGGTTTCTTTCCCTCTCAATCAATTTTACAGAGGCCTACCCATTGCTCTAGTTTCTTGTCATCAACCTTAATTAGATTTATTTGGTGCTCAGTGAGAAGAGCTTTGCTATTTTACCTTGTCACAGTGGTTGCACTTTAAACTACTATAGCCAGGCTAGTAGCCTCGGGGAAAGTTCTGTTCCCGAAGACAAAGGCTCTGCTGCTGCAGCTGAAGGTAGATTTGTCTCCATTGTTCTAATCTAATAAAGCTAGGGTGAAAACCTAAGAGCTCAAAGAGTAGCAGCTGACTGACTTTCTCTTAGCTGGCTTCCCAGGAAGCCTCTCTCCTTCCACACTGCTCCAACTAAAAACAACCCAATGCTGTGCTCCTCCCTGCTATTTCTTGTCAACTAGTTGCTAGCCCCACCTCTCTGAGCCCAGGTTAATTTTATTTAATTAGTACAAATGCAACACATCCGTATAGAGTTAAACAAATGCAGCATAAACAAATGTAACACATCTTTGCCTAGTTAAGCAAATATTCCACAACAAAGCTCCCACCAACTTGGCATACACAGGCTCTTCTAAATTAGATGCAACAAAGTTGGATTTGGCATTTCTCTAAAGCTTTGGTCACTTGGGAAATTTCATGCACCAAGTCATCACGGATGAGGGCAGTCTTCAGCACTTATGGTAAATCATTGTTAGGGACCATCACACATTTAGCATCAGGACCCCCGGAATTATGGTCTTAAATGTCTTTTGTAGTGTGTTCAGTCAAAACGCAAAATCAGGTAGTTGCTACTCAACCTCTCTGAGCTAGCAGGTTTTTACTCTAGCCTTTGACTCCTGAGTCTTATTGATAAATAGAACAATAGAGACTTTATTTAAATGTACATATTATGGCTGCAGAGCTGCCAGGCTTTGGCCTGAGTGGCCAGAGGGTCACTGATTGAGAAGCCATTGACAGTAAATGATAATTAAAATATCAGTAGAATCATGTGCAGCCACTAAACTAAGCTGACGGGAAAAAAAATCTTCCCCGTCCCTCCTCTCTCCCTCTCTCCCACCTCTTTCTCTCCCTCCCTTTCCTCTTTCCTCTTTCTTCTCTCCATGCCTCTTATTTCCTCTCACCGCCCCCCCCCACTTCTTCCTGATTTTGTGGATTTTTTGAGACAGGGTCTCTCTATGTAGCCCTAGCTGTCCTGGAACTCACAGAGATCTGCCTGCTTCTGCCTCCTGAGTACTGGAATTAAAGGCTCTAGTTTCTCATTCTGTCTGGTTTGTTTGTTTTGTTTTGCTTTGCGTTGCTTCTAAGACATTGCCCAAACCCTTTAAAATACAGGAAAAAAATATTAAAACACAGCCAGGTATGGTGGTGCAGGAGGCAGAGTCAGGTGAATCTCTGGGTTTGAGGCCAGCCTGATTTACAAAGAGAGTTCCAGGATAGCTGGAACTACAGAGATACTCTGTGTCAAAAAACAAGGAAAAATGATATCAAAACACCACTTACTTATTATTTCTTTAGTTTTGTTGAGTCTCCCTATGTAGCCCAACATGGCCTTGAACTTGACAATCATCTTTCCTCAATGTCTTGGGTGCTAAGATTACAGATGTATGCTAACACTTATAACTTAGGTTTTTCAAATAAACTATTTTATTTAAAAAAAAAAAATTCGTATTGGTTGTCTTTATGTAGAGAGCTGCGAAGTGCTGCACCTTAAAGATGGCACTGGCTTCCCTCTTCCACCTTCCCAATGGTGAGCACTCTCTTTGGTAAACAAGTCCGTATTTGGCTAAGCCTGTTCAGCTTGCTTGCTTCTGTATAAGAGCAGCCTATCTGCAGGGTCCACGTGGCTCACTAGGGTTGGTCAACACAAGGGGATTTAAGCCTGTGCAGCGTTTCCCCAGGTTAGAAGAAGAAGCTTGTTCAAGGATCCTGAATAAACTGCTAGAAGGTCTCCCCTGAGTTGTGTCTTCCTTGCTGGTCGAGGTTGGGCGCGACAACTCTACTTACTCTAAGGAGACCAATGACTTCTAGAACCTGCCAGGCTTTAACATGTCAGAGGCATTTGGCCCTGGTGACTCTTCCCTCATCAGATCATTCATGCTGGCTAAGTGGGACCCAAGAGACACAAAGAGTTTCTCCTTCCTCTCCTTTTCTCATCTGCCCTTTACCAAGGAAATTTTCAGAGGTAGTGTTTGTTTTAGTTAGAATTTCACCATGACCACACAGCAACTCTTATGTTGGAAAACATTTATTTGGGGCTGGGTTCAGTTTGAAAGTTTAGTACATTATCATCTTGGCATGGTGGCACGCAGGCAATCATGGTACTGGAGTGGTAGCTGGGATAAGTACAGAGAGACTTTTATTATTTATGAAAGCTTGCCTTAGCTTAGGCTTGTTCCCAACTTACTCTTAAAATTTAAACTATTTATATTAAACTATGTTTTGCTACATAGCTTGTTACCTTTCCTCAGTACCATATATCCAACTTCCACATATCTGGCAGGCAAATCTCCCATCTCTGATTCTTTCCCAGAGTTCCTATCTCTCCCTAGAAGTCCCATCTATCCTCTCCTACCTAGCTATTGGCCATTCAGTTCTTTATTAAACTAATCAGAAGGTACCTAAGGCCCGTGAGGTTAAACAGAGGTACATCTTTACACAGCGTACAAAAAGATTATCCCAACATCTACCCCTTTTAGTCCAATAAAGTCTCTTTCTCTAACATCAATAAACTATATACAATAAGAACAATTGCCAGGTAAGAATTTCATTCACAATGTGTGGTATATTTGTATTTGCCAACCTTGGAGAATATACTGTTTTTTCTGTTTCCAAAGGTTTGTACCTAAATCACTTTGTATCATAACTTGTATTAACAGCCTAAAAACATCTTTTTAGACCTTAAGATACCTCCTAGATAAACAACTTAAACTTTTTATGTCTCTCAACCTTTTTATAACCTTTATATTTCTTTTGTGAGTTTCAGCCCCATCAGAGACCTGACAGGGATAAATACTACCTGAGTAAACAGGAAGTACAGGACAAGCCCCTTACAAAAATAATGAAATGGCAGAGATAGCTGGCTGCCTGGACAGTCACCCAAGCTTCCTCTGCAACATTGGAGCATCCATCTTTGTCCTAGAGGCCCAGAACATCTGACAGACTTTTCTGTGAAACAGAATTAGTTTGAAGGGCTGTCTTACCTTGCCCTGGCAAAGTTTGGCAGTTACCTTCCTTTGCACAAAGCATACTGTCAATAGTTGAGGCAAGGGCAGTTTCTTGCTCAGAGGGTAGTTTTGCTACCTTTGAAGCAAACTCCATATAAAGGTTCTTTGATGTTCTTCATTTTTTCTGAAGTAGATTGGTGCTGCCAGGAGCAGATATGTTTCACTATCATGAAAAGCCTTGTATTATTAAAACATCTTAAATGCCATATTCTATAGATCCCAGAAGTGTTTTGAAAATGACCTATCTATCTAAAATATGCCTCTGTTTAACCTCAAAAAGATGCCTAACAAGACAAGTGTGATTGTTTTTAGGTGACTAATTACTAACCTGTATTTCTTAATAGCAGTTTTTAAGGACTAGAACTTTACATTTTTAAATGAGCTGCATATGTATAATACCTTAAACAGCAGCAAGTATCATTAACTGCTGATCCATCTCCCTAACAACAATTTAAAGAAAAAGAGGTTATGAATTTGAGAGAAAGGGGGTGGGGAGAGGCACATGGGAGGAAAGGTTATAATCACAAAAAACGAAAATTATAAAAATGTATGCATATATCAGAATTTATTTGTATGTGTGTGTGGGGGGCTGTCAGAGGAAAAATTACAGAAGTTCTTTTCCCCCTGCCTGTGGGTCTCAGGCAATGCTAGCTTACCTGTGGATACTGAATACTTGTACTTTTCCCTATGATTATAGACATAATAGACTGAGGATGAACTCTTAGGCAAAATTTCTAACTGGAAAGAACAGGGTCAACCCAGCTTTCCAGAAATTTGGTTTTCCTTTCAGACCTGGAAAAGTGCAGACATTTTACTGAGTTGTTGCAGCAGTAAGATTTCTTAGTTATGAGAATGGCTCCCCCCGCCATGGGAATTTCTAGGATTTAGGGAGATTTTTCCCATTTAAGATGCATATTAGTGGTCTGTTTTTTCCCAGAGACATCCAAATATTACCCAGTGTGTGGTGGTTCTTGTCCTGTGGTAAGAAAAGACTAAAAGACAACAGTACTGGAGAAGAGGAACTCACTGGGTGACAGGTTCTACGGATTAAAGGTGTGAGAATCTGTTGTCTCTTGTCCCATGTGTATTCTCTTGTATTACTCTCCTGTCATAGACTGGTTTCTCTTCTAGCCTGGAAACTCAGCAAACCTTGAAACATTGTGTTTTACTTTTTGGTTGTGAGAATGTCACTATTATGGGATTTCACGTGCTGTTATTAATTTAAGTCTGTGTTTGCTAGAACAGTTCTCCAGAAACGTCCTGAGCAAGTACATGGGACATAAAATGTTTTGAGTCTCGTAAATGTTCATTTAGGACTGGTAAGGTGTCTGTGGGTCATGGCTTGCTCCCATGCCTGAGTTTGATTCCTGTAACTCACATGGTAGGAAAGGAGTACTGACTGACTCTGCAAGTCCTCTGACCTCCACAGGCACACCAAGGCATCCGCCCCTCCATAAACAAATAGACACAACGAAAATGTCCACGTTTCATCAGTAGTTTGGCTGGGGGGACATCGAGATGTGGTCATGACTCATTGACTACTCCATAGGATGAGGCATGAGCCGGCCAAGCTCCAGGAGTGACTATAACTGTGAGCTCCAAGCTTGCCTGTGCAACTTAGAGAGCAGTTTAAGGAGTGAAGAGGTAACACAGAAGAGCCTGCCAGGCAAGTTCCAAGGCTCAGGCTCCACCCCCCAAGGCTCCATCAGGAGAAAACCCACCTTTGGAATTTTTTTTTTTTTTTTTTTAAATTTACAAATCATCGATTTCCTATCCTCTAGCTTTTCAGTTTTACTATGTTTTAAAAAAAAGGACGCCATTCTGAATCTGAATCCTTTATCGTTATTTTTGCGTTTGTCTTTCTTTTAAGAAAGAATATTCACTTCTGATAGACGTGACAAGCTTGTCTTTCATTTGGTGGGCCTGCCCCATCTGAGGAGTTGAGGTCTTCAGTCTTGTAAACTGTTTTCTGTTACTTCCGCCTTTTCTTTCCCAGGAAGCCTCAGGGTTTGAGAACATGCCTTCTACCATACTTTAAAAAGGATTTTCCTTTCCCCACCCATTTCCTAGGAGATTTCTTCACCTTTGTTTTGTAACTTCAGAAAAAAATTCTGCCACTGCACTATTGAAGAATGTCTACCTCTTCTTTTACCTCCTATAGGAGTTTATTATAATTAGAAAATAAAAATCCTTCAAGTACCTGTGTTGTATTTGTCCCCCCTCCCCTTAGGTCCTTTCCGATCCCCTATTATATTTAGTTTTTTCTTTACTGTAGAAATATTTCACAAGGACCTGGTTTTCCTTGGTTGATATTCATTCTTAAGATTAGAAATTAAAACTCTGATTTTGGATGCAGTGTAGCCTACAGATTCTTCGGGGACACACCCTAATCCAGCTATTTGGAATACTTTAAATGTATGGTGCCATTTTCCAAAGATGGAACAGTTCGCCTTTTCCTGGAGAAGCAGCAGACTGTCTGGCCTGCAAGTCTACTAAGCAAAGGATCTGGGATTTGGGTTCTGTTCCGACATTTCCTTTGCTTCACTCTGACTTTTCCCTTCCAAAGTTTCAGCCCTTTAATTCCTGATCTTCGGTCTTTCTCTTACATCTGCCATCAGTTTTCGTAGCCTAGGCCGCTGCCACTCTCTGGTCTACACTGCAGCCAGTGATCATGGACCCTTCATATCCAGTCTGTTTTACCCACCAAACACCGCGTTTGAGGACACCATGTTCGAAAAGAGCTTGAGCTCTGTGTCCCACTGAGGCGCGGATGAATAGTTCGAAGCCAGACCTGAGTCTGCAGGATCTTTGAGATTGCCATTGCACTCTGGAAGGGCCGTGGATCCAGGAGCTGAATTCAGATGGGATTGGAATAAAAAACTTCGAGAGTTTTATTGTCCAAGTTCCTGATTAGACAGAGAAAAAGAGTTTAGTTCGCCTTGCAGGGATTTGTATTTCTACGACGTAAATGAATCTTAAAATACAATAATCACAAGCAATTGTATACATACTCATTATACTTGAAAAGATTCATTAATTACAATACAAACGTCGTGTCAGGGTGGCCGAGTGGTCTAAGGCGCCAGACTCAAGCACAGTCTTCCTCGAAAGTGAGGGTTCTGGTCTCCCCTGGAGGCGTGGGTTCGAATCCCACTCCTGACACACACTCTATTTTCACTGTTTTCAATTACTTTCACAGGCACCTCTTGTCATTTTCTTAGTGTACTCCTGACCTTCCATGAAGTCCATTCCACTAATCACGAAGCACATAGAGTCCTGTACTCGAGCCCTAAACGTGACTTTACCAACAGCGGGAAAACATGGTAGCAGCAGGATACTGCACTAAATGAAGCTTTCACGAATGGTGTAGGAGACGTGCACAAACCCTACAGTGGCACAATTGACAGTTGAGTGCAGAATTGATAATGTCAGATACCACATGACCTTTTCAACTGCAAGGGCCATCAAGAGCCAAATGCTGAAAAAACAAAAGAAATCGTTCATTGCATGGGATGAATGCAGGAACTCAATAGAGCTACGTTTGGTGCGTGAAACGAAGCAAAAAAAAAAATGAATGGTGCATAATAAGTAAGGTTCCACCGAGATTTGAACTCGGATCGCTGGATTCAGAGTCCAGAGTGCTAACCATTACACCATGGAACCAACCTGCTTGAGATGCTGTCGTAATATCCATCTGTGAACACTGACTTAAAAAAAAAAAAGCATTGCTAAAGACTGTCTCACCGTATTATTTGAAATTCTGTTACGAATTTAGCATGTTTCAAAGTAACATTGTTACTTTCTCATGAATTTCTGAGCTGTATTCATGGTCCTTCTTTTGTTTATTTTCTTGCTGTCCTCCCGGTCTCTGGATCTCGGGTCTGCGGTCTACTTTCACATCACCACTGAAGCCAGGTCCTCTCGCTTTTTTTTTTTTTTTTTTTGCAAGCGTGTGTTTGCCATACAAACCGAAAGGACACGACTTTAAAATGGGATGCCTGTCTCCGCCTCCTAATGATCCTAATAGTATTTTTATCGGAGCAATTCACTTTCTAAGTAGAAAAATCTTCGTTTTCAGTGTCTGGACCACAGAAATGGTCAGACGCAACGTCGTGTGCACCGCGTCTCAGGGTCTGGCAGCGTTCAGAGCAGTCCCTGCAGTTTGTGCTTTTCTTCCCCACCACGGAAGGTAAAGTGGATGTTAGTCATTGAACGAAGAAATGTATAGTATCTCCTTGCTCCTGCTTCATTTACTCATAATGGGTATCCGCAGACTTTCATGAGCAACTGGTGTGTGCCAAGCGGCGTGCCCTCAGCTGCAATCACGAGCTGCTGCGACTTGTGAATGCCTGTCATCACAAAGCAGCAGGTGCCAAGGCGTCTCCACTGAAGTTTACTCAGTGGGAGCAGGGTGGACACGGAAAGCAAGACCAGTGAACGCGAGGAAGAACAAAGGTTCAGTACCGCAGAGCAGTTTTAGACTTTCGGGGTGACGGTGTCTCCTTCTGTCTTTACTCCATACATAGGTTCAGCTCAATGAGTCTGAAGGGCTTTCCCGTTTGCACGGTATTAGCCGCACACAGCTTGGAGGAACATGATTCGGGCTCAAAATGAAACGAGAAGACTGTGGTGAGCCTAAGGGCAGGCTTTCCGTCTCCCGGATGGGAAAGAATATACGTCTTGAGTGGCATAGGCCCGATCTGTCTCTGGTCGCAGATCGACGCAGGGAAAGAGAAAGTTCCATATTCGTTCTCATTCATCGACCAACGTAACAAGAACGAACTGCGGAGTCTTTAGGCCCTAGCACTTAGTAGGTGCACAATAATAGCTCTTAATATGAATGAATTAAAGAAAAGATTGTTATCTGTTGGCGGATCCTTTTGACTGGTGAAAATGAAGTGATTAGGGGAGTAAATGCAACACACATTACGTTCTTAATCAAAGTTAATGGAAGAAATTAGTTGAAAGGCTATCCTCTGCTCGAACTGAGAATCCTAAGGAACCGAAAACTGTTCACTTAAACCAAGGGAAAAAAAGAAGTCTGATGGCAGCGGTGGGATTCGAACCCACGCCCCCGAAGAGACTGGAGCCTTAATCCAGCGCCTTAGACCGCTCGGCCACGCTACCGTCGTGTCCGCTCCCCCGCCTTGTCTTCCTGGAGTAATTGCACACTTTCAGGCTCCGTTCCCGCAGTCCTTTGAGCACGGCCCTCTGAGGCGGGCTCTCGCTCTGCCGTCTCTATGGCCTTTTAGCACTGCTGCATAGTCTCGGTTCCTGCTTTATACGACGATGTCCCACAACAGAAGCTGCTTCAGATACTATCGTAACAGAAGGACCACGATAGCTTAATTAGCTTAACGGTGTCTCCGGAACCACACGAGTACATGATTCGTAGAAATCTGCCACAGGCGCCTCCTTAGCGCAGTAGGCAGCGCGTCAGTCTCATAATCTGAAGGTCCTGAGTTCGAACCTCAGAGGGGGCAGCCGTAGTATATTTTACTTTCTTTAATTCCGCAGAGATTTGAACCTACAGTGGGCAAATGTGCGTATTTATGTATTTATGTCTTATACATTATGTGCTTAAACACATTACGTGAAGAAGTACAATGTCCCGTTTCGGAAAAACAAACCCCAAAACTATTAAAACTGAATGGGAAACTTCCTGTTTGTATAATGTAATGGTCAGCTACAAAGTTACAAAATAGTGATTTTTAAAAATATATAAATTAGACCTCGGCAACGTGATGAAGCAAGCCTTTAATATTCCGACACCTGGGAGAAGAGACCGGCGGATCTCTACAAGGCGAGTTCCAGGGCTCTGTCTTAAAAAGAAAATTAAACACTTCTTAACTTTTCGTCATCATTGTCATTATCCATACCAATTGGAGCCAGGAGAATTTCGGGTGTTTTTTAAATATATTTGGCAATTTCTTTGTTAACACACCAGGGCCAGAAATCCCCCAGCCCAGGGTGTAAAAGAGAGAGGAGGCCGGGTTGAAATTGTTGTTTGTTCTCTCTGACCATTCTTCTGGGATTGCTTACCATGATACTCTGTCAAAAAACGAAACAAAACGTTTCTGCTGAGTCTCACCACGTTGGGCTCTTGCTCTTGACAGAATTTCTGTCATCCAAGCTGCAAGACTCAGAAAACTGTCTAAAAAAGAAATAGGGCAAGGAGAGACCGACGTTCAGGAGCTCTCTGTATCTCTGTGCAGCCAGGAGAGATCAACGGGTGTCTCCCGGGCCATGCATCCTCTCGGCTCCGGGTCTTCTATGGTGGGGCCTGGGGTCCACAGACTACATCCCGAAACTCCGTCGCTTCAGAGAGAAACTGGCAGGCAGGAGAAAGAAGGCTGAGCTTTTCTTCCCGTCCAGTTGTCCTAACCTCCATTCTCTTTGTGTGTGTGTGTGTGTGGGGGTGGGGTGGGGGGTGGGGGGGGTGGGGGGGGTCCAGAGCATCTCACTGTGGAAGTTACTAGAGGCAGAAGCAGCACCCCTGCTGCCCACTCCCCAGCCAGTGCTTCTCCT